ACTGTTGTTAACCTTTCTGTCTTAGTTAAGATCTTGATAAAGATCGTTATAAAAACCACTACTAATGGAGATTTTTCCAAGAAAAAAGTTTATTTTTTTCACCTGCCTGGTTTTAGGTTTTCGGTAAAATCTATTATCAGGTTTTATTGTCATTTGCAAAACATTTATCGGTAAGATGATAGTTCGTAGCCAAGCCCACAGACTCCACAATGGTACCTACTAGATCGATTTCAGTAGCTGTGATTGCGTTCTCATTATGCTTCTAAATTCACGCGCACGCTGTAATACCTGTATCAGATTCATTTTAGAGGTACCATCATGGGCAGATTTACACCGGTAACGATGACAGTGAGGCTTACCCTATGCCAAATTTCATTAGAAGAGGCAGTTGGCAACTGTGCCCACATAATCCACAATTGTACCTACTGGCTTGATTTCAGTAGCTATGATTACGTTCTCATTATACTTCTAAATTTGCATGCGTGCTGTATTACCTGTACCAGATTCATTGTGGAGGTACTATCCTGGGCACCGGTAACGATGACAATGAGGTTTTCCCTACCTCAACTTTCATAAGAAGAGGTAGCTCTTGACTGCCTCATTCATTGTAGAGGTACTATCTTGGGCGGATTGGCACCCGTAACGATGCCAAGGAGGCTTCCCCTTTATCAACTTTCATTAGCAGAGGTAGCTTTCGACTGCCTCATTATCTGCGGATTTTCTCTTCCGCCCAAACCAGTTTTTCGCATAAAAGTCTTACCCGGCTTGCGTTGTGGCGTTCCGCGTGCCGCTGCTTGACTCTCGTGTCCTTCTGTCCATTATGTTTGTTGGAGTTATATCGCTTACACTGCGGAATGACCTTCGGACCAGTTGTCTTATTCTCATTGGTTGTTCGCCCTCACTTGCTTTTCTCTCCAATCTGAGGCTAGGATGCATTTATTCCACACACCGTTCAAAGTCTCCTTGCTCATTTCCATACCATCCTTGTATTTTTCACATAATCTAAATTAGGCTTCCTTTTTACCAGGAGCGTCTATTCCTAGCATATACTACAATCGCCAATTATCCGTCCACTCAATTGTCCCACCCGTATAGCCCCTATTACCACCGGTCCCGATTGACAGGCAGCTTTGGGTTTGCGGTGTCAGGAGGGCTACCAACTATCATCTAACCCATTTATCAATACTAAAAAGTAAACAGTTACGCGCATTCGGAGTTTTCGAGATCATGCATACAAAGAATGATATTATGGTGTACAGCCAATCTATGTTTGAAGTTTTTAATAAGTCAGGAGTTTATTCTGCTTCTTAGTGACCCTGCCTATATTTTGCTTGCATGAAAATGGAAATCGCGGACTCTGACGATCTAGACAGCATTGTCTTCATGACTGGCCTCGACTTCCAAATAATATTTAAAGTAACTAAGTCAATAATTTTTAAGTTTGCGGAACAGGATTGCTCTGGTACTTCAATGTACAATCGGTTATATCTGCTGAATGCAAGTTTTCCATCACTCACAGCCCCACTTATTAAATCATAACAAAAAGATATATCAGGGATGAAACATCTGTATTTCCCTCAAAAAACTAAAATGGACGTCGAAAATATGTTTGAAAAATTGTTAATTATGGTTTAATTAATTCCTTTTGCTAGAATGCTCCGCGGCAGTTAATTCGAAATCGCGACAATATTGCAATAACCTCGGAAGGCGTAGGATTACGACCAACAAAATTAAAATGCCCGATATCGAACCCTGAGATTTTTACACTCATTAGAGTTCTTAAATGAATTTTTGTAGGTCAAAATCTAACTGCAAACCTCCTGCATTCCAGAGAGGCGCTCCACGGCAATCAGCAAAACTCAACCGTTTATTATGTAAAATTTTATGGTTTCACAGTTCTCACTGAAAGACCATCGTAACAACCCTGTTCACGTGTAATTTTGTTGCCGAAAACTAGTTTCAATTTTATCATCACATTTTCTAAGGACATAAACTAAAGTCCGTCAAGCAAAACAAAGTGCCACAGTATAATATGCATGGTGTATAGATGACTTCTTTCAATTTAAACGAGCCAGTGGATTTCATAAAATGCTCTTTTAAATCCGCAAATGAAGGTCGGTTTGATAATATCAGTCAGCTTAGTCGTTCTTAGCTTTAAAAGATTGTACATAGATGTGATAATTTATGGGTTCCAAATGTCCTGTGGCTGCATTTACTTGGACATCTGGTAAAAAACGTTCTTATCATTTTATCTGGGCCGGCAAATGCGGCACTACATCAGTTTATCATCGTACTTCAAGCAGTTTAAACATACTTATTTACTAAAATCGAAAGCCTTCAATGATGGGAACAATTTTGCGACACTTATTTAAAGTCTCGAAAATTTTCATTTGATGAAAAAAGACGAAGACCATTAAGTTGGTAAACACAGGCCAGCAAATTAATCGAAACAAGGGTACTTATTCTTTGCTATTTGATTACCTCAGAACTTAATTGATTTAATCGCTTTACTGCAGTGTCTACCAGAATGCACAAGGGGGATGCTGGGAGACCCACTGATTATCCAGACCTGTCGCATCTGTGCCTTGTAGCTGCACACGTGAAACACGCGTGTTTGGGCTTTGAGCTATCAGCTGTGCTGCTCATATGGCCTTTCAACCGACAAAATAGGGGATTTCTACCTGCGCAAATCATTTGTATGAAGACGCAACTGCTCCTATAGTTTTCGTCTTGCATAATATCATCGTCATTCCTTTTCTATGTAGGACTGGTGTAAGTAGGTCGATGATAAAACCACATACAGAATTCACAAACATGAGTATCGAAACCATAAATCAAACAAGCTGTTCGGTAAAAACCGTTGGTAACTTTGTCAAAAAGACTAGTGGCAGTTATCTTTAGGAAACTGGTCAATCAGTGCATGGAAAGGCATACCAGAAGACCTACTCAGACCGAATTCTTAGACTTCAGTTTTTTTGTCTCTTTAAAATGTCTAAGTTTTTGACGGTAATTTATACTCGTCCAAAGACAAAATATAAGGTATGCCGGAGTGCACAAAAACAATTATTAACTTAGTATTTACTGCAATGCCCACTGATGGTCTTCAAATGTATTTTGCAAATTCTAACATTCAGCATTTCACAACTGTTGCATTCCATCAAGGATGATTGTGGCGTCTACAGTGTAAGTTGATCTGTGAAATGATTTACCGTACTCACAACACAGGTATTAGCGAAGAGCCCAGACACGCGTGTTTCGCCGATCTTATGCCGCTGCGAGGGGCTGGGCTCCTCAGTGGGTCCCCCAGCTTTCCCCGTGTGTTTTCTGGTATATGAAGTCCAGTTTCAGCTTGCCTTCTTTAATTTCCGAAGAAATAATGCGCGAACTTGGAGTAAATCTTTCGAAACGGGCCTTTTCAGGCACGCTCTAAATTTCGATATGAATATTTTAGCTGATGTCGACTGCAGTGAGAAGGTTATATAGTTTCGACCCCTTTCCCCTGAGTCATCGCAGACGACTTAGAGGCGGTAGACTAAGGCGGCGGTGGAGGTTACTTGGAGTTAACAACCACAAATAACAGCCGAGGTCATTCACTCAAAGCATGTGCTTCTGGCGTCAGATATCGTTACGTCCACATCCGTCGATTCTTTAAAATTAAAGCTGAATCGATATACCGCCAGTCATCAAAAAACCACCCGACCAACTCGGTCTTAACGTTCCTAGCCAACTATTTGCTATCCTTTTAATATTACTGTCTATGCATATCAGTAAGGTTTGATTTTCAAGTTAATTTTGCTCCAAATTCATTGCACACGGTTTCCGACACTCACTTTCGCTCCACAGGTAACTAAAAATCGTACCATTATCCATAAACTGACTACGGTACGCTGTACTTAATAGCGTGAATGTTTCCAGAACTTGCAAAAATTACTTTATCTGTGCGGTTTCAATAACTTTCCATAACTGCTTGACATTTCCGTTTCCAACTTCTTTATATGGTTTCATACTTCGTCACGACATAACAAGTCCAAAGTAACAATGCCTGTATGTCCCGCAAAGAAAATAGCTGAGGTAAGATGATCCAGGACGTTCCGAGTCACAGATTCTATGGAACATTTAAACACGTGTTTACTTATCTTTCTTTTTGCCCCAACGCTCACCTACCATCTCTAAAGATGCTGCCTATAAGAAGGGATGTTCGACTGCACACCCTGCCGGCGACAGAAGAAATGGATTAAACCTCTTCATAGGATGTTTACTTAGAGTCGAGATAAGCGAATCAATGCAAAAACAGTTCTCATTTGTCCGGCGCCTACAGTTGGAAGTGTTTCTGTACACCTCAAGTCCGTGTTGAAACTGCTGTCGGTCAAATGAGGTAATCTCTAGGTGAACAATGAACATGTCCTTGAGCACTCGAAGAAGCTTGTGCCAGCGTCTTCAGCGCAAAATTCGAAGTTAATTGAACAATGGGCTTATTGCTTTTCCTTTCAATCTTTTGTAAATTAGCACCCTTGGAATTATTTTATTTTAGGCTTTAAATTACGATTATTTGTTTTCCCTCGACAACCGCAAAAGACTGTACTGTGGGAACGCTTTTCAAGCGTTCTTAACGAAATTTCCGCTTTTTGAGGACCTTGAGTTGACGATATCGATACGCTCGGCAACGTTGCGCGCCATTCTCAGCTACTCTCTTCCACAAGATCTAAGTGAAAAAGGCTAAAATAACTCTTTTTTTAAAAAAATGAAGCCTGTGTAGGTGGCACTGTTTACTCTCTACTCTTCAACGGGCCACCACATCCAACGGAAGCCCCACGCTGTGCACGTTAGCTGAATAATTATTCCCCTTTTTGAACGAATGTCTTGCAGACAGAAAACAACTAGAACAGTGTGACTTACAAAAGTCGGTTTTCGGTAAACCCTAGATCGTTTTTTTCAAGGCAATATAAATATGAGGTTCTAAAGTCGGCAAACACGACAGGGAAATTCATCTGCAATTCGCGATGCTTCATCTTTTCTACGTTGTCGTCTTAATTCAGCTATCATATGGCTGCCTTAACAAGAATAGTAGGTCCCCAAAACATTTTCCAGCAGTTTTTTTTGATTAAACAAAATAAGACATAGGCGTAAGATTGCGATCGTATTGCGTTTTTAAATTTGAAGAAATCTTTGAGGAAGAAAGTAAGACAGTTAGATATGCCTGCTTGGCATCTTCTATAGTTTATTTGAAACCTTACTTGTTCCACCGAAAGTTGTCGGAATATGTTATGTTTTTGCTTAAGCTTCATTAAAATTTGAGTCAGTGTTTTAACTATGTTGAACAGGCGGTCAGGTTTAAGTGACCCCAGTGCGCCTGCAGCCTTGAATGTGAGTGAACTGACTAGACGATAACAAAATTAGCAAGGCTCTCTGTGATACCATAATTTTAAATACGCAATATGAATTACCGCGCAGCACAAACTTTAGATATATCAGGAAGTTTGTCATGCTGGCTTTTAAATCCGCAAAAAAAACTGAGAAGACGCAACCTTTAATGAGCGCATTTACTAAACAACAAAATTGAAAGACCCTGTATGCCTTATTTGTCTTTTCCTGTAATTAATTAATATTTATTGTGTCGTTGGCTACTGAGGTACACTGTCAGAGGTCATTTACTTCCATCGTCTTGTCCCCTGATATGGTGTAAGCGGGGACCGGTTTTTTTCACGATTGTTCCCCGCCGGAGAAAGGTATATGCACAATGTAGGAAGGGCGATTGCCTTGCTTATTCACAGATTTTCTTCCGTTATTCACCCGTTTTTCTCCTCTTAATCAAATTTTGACCTGAGTGAGCTCAAAAACGTGCATGGGGACGGAACTGACAGCCACATATTTAGTCAGGGACGGCTTCTTAATCAACCCGAAGAGAATTGTCATAATTTCAATTATGCATGCGATCTTATTGCGCGCATTATTTTGCAGAAGATGATAACGCGGACACTACAACCACTGGACCTAGCACGGAACCTACTCCGTCCGTCAAAAACAATTCCGTGGGTGAGTTTAAATATCCACTTGTCTTCGGTTATTACGCAGACGCAAACCATGAAAGAGGCATCGACTGTAATATTGTCTATTTACTTCGCAGTGATTACGAAGAAGGCGTGCTGTTTCATAAACTTGTCCAGGCTTCGTTCGTCGTGCGAGAAGCTGCAGTAAAACAATCAACAGATGGCAAACGCTAGTCTGCCCAAACTTTAATCAACTTCAGGTCATTTGTCTGCATTAAAAGAATACCAACCGTCGAGTTAGATTGCCCTTTTGACGAACCAATCTCTCAGTCTAAACGTTTACATACTATAAAATACTAGTCTGTTCGTCGTATGACTAGCCGTTAATTATCACCGTTCAGCCGACATACAATGTTATCACAAATGCAAATGTGACGGTAGACGGCGTAAGAATGTTTCTGAAATGTTCTGCCTTAACAGATACTACTACTGTTTTTGTCATACTTAACGCAAGCATTCATCTCTCAGGAAGTTCTACAAAACACACTTTTTTTACATCCCAGGCAGAAGCCTTAATTAAGATTCCAGCCACATTCTGGGTAGCATATTTGAGGTCCATCCAGTTTTAACCCGGTTGACAGCTAACAGCTGGGTAACGAGGAGCGGATTTTTGCTGTTGTGTTCATTTTCCATCTTCGCGTTCAGACTCCTGGTTTGGTCAGTGCATCACTGGGCATGAAACCATCGTAGTTATTTCGAAATTTGCTTGGGAAATATGATGCAAACACGATGAGGCATAGCAAAATTAAAAAAAACAGCACTATCTTAATTAGAGTATTTACCAAAAAGCAGACTGGGGGACCTACTATTGGGCCGAATCCCTCGCCGCCATGTCATGCAGCGGCAGAATATCGGCGAACCACAAGCGCATGTGCATTAAGTTAGTGCCTCTGTTGTTCGTATAGTATTCCTTTGCTCTAAAATATGCCACTAGTTGCTTGTCGGTATTTAATAAATATTACGCACTTCCCCACTGTGGCTGAAGGACTTCGGCCACAAATGTTCAAACAAAAATATTGGATTTGACCCTATGGACCTAGAACATACTTGTATATCTCATGTTCGCGATTAATTTTTGAGGAAATAAAAAAAAAGCAACAATGAGTTGCAGTGCTCAATTTTACACGAAGGGGCTATCTTTCCCTCTCCCAACTTCATTCACGAATCAGCCTCACTACGAGAACAAGACGGCCTAGTTTCGTGAAAATAACACTCATGTGAATGCGTCTTCTTCGATGCACTACAGAGTCAGGTTTACAGAGCGTGGAAGAGTCTTGTCTCATTGGCATTAGCCAGTCTGTCTACTCTCTGCCATCCTAAATGCCTTTCTACCAAATGCATCCTATCTTTTTTCTATAAATCGCACTACCGGAGTATCAATGCCTTAATGAAGGATAAATAAGGAGAGCTTGGACCACTAAGATAACAACCTGCTTTGAAATGAACACATTATACGAAAACTGCAGGCCTAAAACTTACAGGAGCACATTCTAGCGGCTGTAGTGCTTATGAGCAACAGGCTAAAAAACCAATGGAATGGGATACATACAAGCAGAAAAAATTCGCTTTAGCACTGAGCTTTTAACTGATAAATTTTCATTTTAAATCAAATAAAAACAACACATACATGCAGATATATGCGGAGATTATTTTCTGATGAACGCCCTAAAATATTTACTCGATGAGATGTCTGGGCATGCAACGACAAATGTTCCCCAGAAAATCCGTCATACTTCCTGTCTAACTTGTTAAGACCAGTCACCTCGTACCCAGTATACGTATGCCAAGCATGGCATGCACAGAAAGATCTTAGGTATTCGACTTGAATACTCGTATCGCGGTCCTAATCGATCTGACAAATCAAACCGGATCATTAACTTAGTCTGCAACGCGTTGGCCTCGTACTGGAGACGCTTTTACTCGCCTGGTTGTCATCTCATACTCGAAATGTGGAAGAAACTAGAACAGGCAAATGTCATGCCTCAGTATTGAATGAGGATGCACACGCAGTTGTTGATCACAGTTCATTCTCACTTTTAACGTAACTCGCTTTAGCTGACTTGAGTAGAGATTGCAAAACTCGGTTTCGAAGATCGCTACATTTTTATTGTAGTTCTTAAATATGTCTTCTCTTTAAAGATGTTACTTAGCTGACTTTGCATTACTGATAGGCATGTCGCATTGTTCTTGTGACGTTCTTGTTTACGCAAAATTTGCTGTGATAGGGTGAAGTGAGGCAACCCACAGACCGACAGCATTATACCTGCACACCGTAGCCTTCGTCATCAGCCAATCAGTGGAGGCAAATCATTGATCCGCAACACGCTGCTGCTATGCTACCCAGCCGGGTACGTAGGGTTCATGGGGTCGAAGGAAAATATGTCTCGCGTGTATCAGATGCAACATTGGTAACTGAACGTGCCTCAGACCACGCGAGTCAAACGTGCACATGAATCCTACTAGCAACTTACTTGGCCATAATCATAACATCACATAAATTGAGAACTTAATGAAGTCACGTTCGCACATACTCAAGAAAAGGCATTGATTTAATTAAGTAGTAACCCAAAAGCACTGTCAAAACCGCAATCAAATGCACAACGTGATGTTGCGTCTTATTACAATATTTTACCTTCCAAATAGTAGCAAATTTATACGAGTTCTGAAAACTAGCTGAGAAGGGGAATAAATCACTGAAACTAAAAATATTATATGGACGAAATTTTCTTTTTCGGACCTTCCTTTTACATGCTTAATGTCTTTTACAAAGTTGGCTGCTAAATCAAAATGACACGGGCCGTTTGGTTTGCCTGTGAAGTCACAGATGATGATACATGTTGAAGATCAAAGCATAGATCGATGTCATATTGTTCCGACAAAACATAATAACGACCGTCCAAGTTTCGTCCGGTTTCCTTCCACCAGTCAGATCTCCGGCTAATTAATTTTGGTTGCATGCAATAACTGATCGGTTTGTGCTTGATTATGAATGACTTCTCTGGAAACCCTCACAAGATTATCATTTTATAATTTATTCATGCGATCTCGTTTTTCGTATTTTGTTTTAAGGTGATCAAAACGCAACTGACACTACTGTTTCGACTAAATCTCAAGCCACCTCAACCTTGCCCTTGAAGGAAACCAGTGCTTCAACTGACCAAAATCCAGTGGAGAAGAAGAGGGTATCACCTACGGTCGCCAAAATAGGCGGAGCTTGGAAGGATGACATAAGACCTAATCCGCCTGTCAATAACTATTCCACAGGTGAGTTCAAATCTCTACTTGTCTACAGCAAAATACGCAGACGCAAAAAATGAGCAAGAAATCATTTTATCTCGTGAATTAGTCTAGAAAAGGTTTAAGATGTAGGAAATCACAGGTGAAAAATCAGCTAACACTAGGCTACACCGTTGGCTTCGTCAAACCTTCAACGATTCCAGGGCGTTTGTCTGTATGCAAACATATATCGACCGTCGAGTAAATCCTCCATCTGACAAAGCAGTCTCTCAGTAAAAGTTCTTACAGACTATTAGTTAAGTTGTCGTGTGAATAGTAGTCAGAAAGCAACACTCGGTCGACACGGAGCCACATTACTGATGTGACCGTGAAAAGAGATGGTAAAAGAATTCGTTATATTTGATGGCTCAATTAATGTGCTTCATCAACCTTTTTTGCTCCTAGGTCTGAAGACTTCCAGCTCCATATGTCCACGACTCGGGTTGGCTTTGTTCGCTCTTTCACTGGCAGTTGTTTTCTACTTGTTTTAACTGAACAGCAATCGATTAAGTATTAATTTACTGAATTATAAATTGTTTCTATATGTTTATTGGGTAGGTCATACTGCTGATTTACTGTATTATTTACTGTATTACTACTGATTTACTGTATTATAAATTTACTGTATTTACTGTATTACTACTGATTTACTGTATTATAAATTGTTTCTATATGTTTGTTGGGTAGGTCATACTACTGATTTTATTTTTTTCTTGGTTTATTCCTTGGAAGTTTCTCATGACAGCCTGGTCAAGTACCCTGCCTAGAATGCTCAGAAGAAAGGTCTAACGGCCGCAATGCTTGAGACAATAAGGTCACGAAACACCGAGGTTCTAGACAACTATCAAGTCGAATAATTCGTCTCGCACTAATAGTACTTGTTTTTAAATGAAATACAACTATAACGGAGTACAAATATGTCCCGTCGGTGCCATTTGCACAAAGATAATGCGATACAGGTACCCACTTGCAACATCGAGTCTACTCTCTGCAAATCTGAGGTACTTTGGATAATTTTCACGGTAACTGTTTTAGGATCTCGTCCGACAAGTGCATTAAGAAAGGGCAACTATCATTCTTTTTATCTCTTCCCTTGTGAGGGATATTTCTGGGAATATCACGTCGAACGAGTCAATGTAATTACTCATATTTTGATTCCTGACGAGTTTAAACGTGCCGCCAACCTAACGAAACCATGGGTTTCTCCATGAATTTTATGGTCAGTTTTCGGTACGACCATTAATACCACTTCTGCCAATAAGCCGGGAATTAAGGAGCCGACTGGCGTTCCACTCATCTGCTCACAGCCTTCTACAGCAAGGGTGAAATGCGTTGTATGTCATAGGTGCAAGTATTGTCCAATTACGTCTGTGGCTCCGATGTCTAATTTAAGAAACGCCATTTGGTTTACCGATCGCGCCTCCTCAATCAGGCTATACAAGCATAATGTTTTCGGGGGCTCTGTCGATAGGTTCTCTGGGCGGCTGTCAAATACTTTGAGTATTTACCAGGGGAGTCACATCATGACATTCCGCTTTTCGGATTCGTTTTTCTCCTACACGAGAACGATAAGCTCACTGCCTGACCATCCGAGGTATGCCTGCAGTTGCGTAAAGTTTCCCCTCTTCTGTACTGTCGTGGCATTCTAATTACATTCGTCCGACTGCTGTAATTTTGTAATTCTAAGCAAATAAAAGCGCCTTAGATACACAGCGTGCCAGTTATATGGTGATCAGCGAATGGGATGAGAAAAGGCTAATCGACTACGACAGGCAAATGCTCACGTCTGTGAGTTTTCTCATTTTTAATTGCAAGCGACTGGATGTGAGGTCAAATTATTGCATGGATCAGTGGTCTGCGGTAAATTCTTGGACATTGATTCCAATCTTCGGCGCATTGGGAGTCTAAATTCAAAATTCACTAACAAATAAGGGCACACAAATCATACACCCCGATCAAAACCGACAAGACAACGAGCCCGTGACCTTGTAATTAGAGGCGTTGGACTTCTAACAAACGGATCGCGCGTTCGAGCTTAGGTTGTTTAACACTTCGGGGTCAGGCACGACTGGCTGACGACGGCAAATAAACTAGAGATTGTCACTCTAATCTCCCTTTTCTTCGTCGACAGTGGTACTCTGCCTATATTACGCGCTTCTTTGTGGCTGCTGTTTGGGTTCGAGGGAGACCCCGTAAAGCGGAACGGGAGGAGGTAGTTCCGTAAGAACAATCGATGAGCACCCCTCTGCCACATTGAAGCACTTGTTATCTATGTCTATATTTCAGCTGATCCACGTCAAATTCGGTGAAGTCTGAGTGTCCTTTTTGAGACGAAAGTCATAAGCTGACGTCATTGTCCCACCTTACACTGCATTCTTAATTGCTTTTCCCTTTTTTACAAAATGCAGCCTATATTGTGGTCTGTATTATGCAATCGGCTTTAAAATCAAAAGGTTTTCCTATGCCATGGCTAATTATACCTACAGTGCGCTTTCTTCAAGTCTGTTATTATTGTCATATAGTTGTCCACTGAGAACAAAACACTAAATACCTGCTGGAGATTATAATACTTGGCGAGTTACGAAACGTGTATTTTAGTTATTATTTTTGCCATTTTTTATTTAGCTATTATTTTATTGTGCTATTTGCTAACGCATTTTCACTTCTCGCCCAAATGGCGATGATCAATCCAGCGCAATATTAAATCTGAAAGTGTAAAAATTCGGTGAAAACTACAACGATATACCTCTTCTGTTACATATCTAAACACATTGTGTCGAAAGACGAAGTTTTCCCAAACGTAAAACAAACAGTATATAATATTTAATTAAAAATATATTTCTAGCTGTTTTTGAAACTCTACAGATTTAGGATTTCTCTTGCAGATAGAGGACAACATAAAAAACCCTTACTAGTTGGAAAGTCTCCAGCAAATTTATTCAGGGATGAAGTCGATTTTTTCCAAATGCCGCGTGTTACGTCCGTACGAAGTGTTTGATAAAACCGCAACGAAAGTGTTTTCAAATAGAGTTGCCATTTTGAAAACATTTATAAATACCGACGAAAGTTAATGGTTACGTGCGCATAGGGTTTATAAAGGCGGGCATATAAGGATGGATATTATGCTGGGCAGAAAATATATGGTAAAATCTTTGAATATGTCAGGAGTTTATTCTTCCTCTTATTCACCTTGCATATTTTGCGCTTGAAAGCTGCAGGAAAATCACAGACTGCGATAAATTGGATCCTGAATTTCAAGTAACATTCTTGACAAATCAGGCAATGGTCTTGATATGGGTGGGAAACATGATGGTGCTGGAACAACAATTACCAATAGTCCGAGTCTGCTTAAAGATATGTATTTATTATATATTAATTACTTATCAAGTCACAACACGCAGATAGTTCAAAGGTGTGACCCCAAAATTCTTCAAAAATATGCTGGACAGAACTTTGGGGATGTTTTTAAACAAGCGGTAATATTGTTCTGTTTGATTTATTCCGCTGGAATGTTCCACAGTCAGTTTTACTGAAATACACGGCAACCGACTGCTATAAAACAGCAGTTACCGTAGAAGGCGTAGTATTATAATCCACTATGCTAGAATGTTGAACATAGAGCGCTGATATTTTTGCATTCACCAGAAATCCTATGACGATTCGATTAGGGTCGGGGCTCGTCTTAAAATCTTTTGAATTCCAGCGACGCCCACTGCGTCATAATTTGCACAACTCAGCTGCTGACCATGTGACGTGTTCTAAGTCCATAGCTCAGACTGAAAAGAACATTCTAGCGTAGGCCGATCAATACTTACTCATTTGTCATTTTGCAGAAAATAAGTTCGCATTTTACGACTCCCTTCTCTTAGGCCATTAACTCCTAAAACGAGGTCAAAATCACTACTGAATGTCAGGTATGCCCAATAAGTAGAGTCTTGGCCTACTCAGTGACCAAGCAAATCGAAGTGCCGCAGTAAAATATGTGTGGCGCCTGAATAGTGGCCTTCCATTCAAAAGAGTCGGCCGATTTCATGAAATGCTCGTACCAATTTACAAAAGACGGCAAATGCATTACCATACAATTGCTTCGGTGTACTATGAACTATTTGAAACCGTCCTTTTATTTATTTAGAAATATCGGGAGCCTTAAAGAAGGGAGAAAGTTTGCGATGAAAAGTTTCAGTCTTGACAAATTTCAGGTGATAGACGTGGTGAAGTTAATTGGGACGACAAATATGCTCCGGCAAATAAACTGAAACTAGGATACTTAAGCTTGTTCTAGTCCTTCGGTAAGGGAGGTTACGACTCCCTTAGTATACGTCTCATTTAATATCATCGGCATTCTTTTCGTATTCAGGGTCGCTCTAAGTAGGTCAATCGTGCAACAAGCAGAATCCAGTAGGAACAAAAGTGGCGTGCACATATATAAAAAAACGATTCAATAAAAACCATTCTGTTAATTGTTATGACCCGGAAGGAAGGTAGGACAGGAAGAGAGCCGGTTCGGAGGACAAGCACTTTATTGGAACTTGTGAACAGGAGGGGGTTCCTTCCTCGTCAGAAAGGTGTGCTATTTATTGGCTCCCGTGCGTTCTGGAACATTCAGTCCAATGACGTGCCAGTCGTAGAGGGCGTTCTAGGATGTTCCTGTCCCGAGCGTGCTGGTCGCTGATTGGCCACCGCGTGCGCGATAGCCCCGCCGCGGAAACGTCTGGAATGTTCGGCCATCCATTGATTGGGCCACACACGTGAGCAAAGCCACCACGCGTGCTCGGCGCTGCAGTGCGCGCCGGTCGGTTGTCTAACTTCGCGCGTGACTCATGTCGCCGACTTGGTCCCCTGTTTGAAGCCTTAGGCCGTGGCTCTACGCCGCTTTGACTCTCCATAACATTAATCTCGTCGACATAAGTAGCGACAAGTGGCTTTGCGCAAATGGTCAGCCGTTTCATGGAGAAACACATCAGAAAACCTCATGAGACCCAATTTTTGGACTTCAGTCCTTCAGGCCGGTTTCATTTGTTCGACTTTACGACGGTCGACCAAACTGGGCACCTCTCATGTCCTGTGTTATGCACATTGACTGCTGTCGATGGCATTTTTGCAAATGCACATTGCAGGCGTGATCATCTGCGCAGTACTAGCAAAATTTTCGTGTTGTCTTCTCAGCTCCAATGAAGGAGGTCACTTAATTTTAGAAGTTCGACGATGTAGAGTGTGGTGAGAGTGCTGATAGTGTTTAGATTTGGAGCGTCATCCGAACTGATGCTGAAAATGAGTGTTTGCGGGCCAACGTATTGTACAGCGATCCGCACAGAAGCAGAAACCATGGCTGTGCTGACTCACTTTCGTCCACAAAGCGGAATCGAGATACGATGAAGTCTCGAAAATGTAACAATTAATCGGTACCTATGCGTCGGCATTTTAAATAAGTGAAAATAACTTATGAATGGTTATTTGGGTGTCAGTGGGCGGAAAATCAGTCTTACGAAAG